CCCCTCACCCTTACCCCCACCCCCCTTACGGTTGTGGTTGTAGTTGTATGAGATTTATACAGACGGGTATACAGTGTATTTGATCTTGGAGTTATGTGAAGGGGGTCAGCTTTTTGACAGGATTGTTGAGCACTACGAGCGGCAGCGGCGTGCCATAACGGAGCAGCAGGTGGCAGCGTGGATGACGGAACTGCTATCTGCCGTTGCGTATTGTCATTCGAAGGCGATCGTACATCGCGATATAAAGCCGGAGAATATTTTGTTCGTGGATGGGAGTGAGTGTGCCCCTTTGAAGTTGATTGACTTCGGGTTGAGTTCGTCGTTGGAGAAGATCCGTGAGACGCAGCATGAGGAAGTGGCTCGGAAGGGCGGTGTGCCTGGCATGTTGGCGAAAATGATGCCAAAGATTGGAGGGAAGCCGTTGGTATCGACGAACACAAAGAAGTTGAAGATGCAGCGTGCGGGAACGCCACACTACATGGCACCCGAGATGATCCGGGGTGCTTATGATTGCAAGTGCGACTTGTTCTCTGTTGGGGTCATCATGCACCAAATGCTGTCCGGCGTACACCCGTACTACGTTCCAGGCGTGGACGATGAAAAAAGCGTGGAAGTAAAAATCCTCGAAACCATTCCCCCTCTAACTGGTCCGGAATGGTCCTTCGTCTCACCCGCCGCCAAGGATCTCTGTCGCAGCCTACTCCGTCGCACTCCGACTAAACGACTCAGCGCGAGGGAAGCACTGCAACATGCCTGGTTCGAACTCGTCAAGGCCAACACCTCGACACCCAGCATCGTCTCCATGTCCGTCTTCGACGGACTCCGCAACTGGCAAAATGAAAACAAAGTCAAGCAGGCAGTCGTACAACTCATTGCTAGAGAACTTAGCGAAAAAGAAATCTGTGACTTACGACGGAAGTTCAAGACTCTAGATAAAGAACACGACGGCATGATCTCACTAGAAGAAGTACGCGAAGCCATGCGCGAAGCTGGCCACGATGTTGTCGAAAGCGACCTTGCCGCCATATTCAAAGGCCTCGCAGACGGTGTCGCTGGACGCATCGGCTGGAACGAATTCCTAGCTGCGCTCCTATGCAAACGCATGACCTTCCAGGAAAATCAACTGCGCGAAATCTTCAAGAAACTCGACACCAACAACGAAGGCAAAATCTCAGCCAACGTTCTCAAAACTGCACTCCGGGGCACCCAAAAAATTAACAACGAACAATTCGAAGACGACCTCGAAAAAATCAGTCCAGATGGCTTCATTGACTTCTACGATTTCGTCGCAATGATGACGCCTGAACAATTCAACGAAACATAAACCACCAACCGATTGACTGAACAACAAGCCTGGCCTGCCTGCCCTGACGAAAAACCTCTATTTGACCTGCATTTCCAACACTTTTTTTATTTTGAACTATTTCGTATTTAACAAGCAGAAAATTGCGGGGCGAATTTTACGCGCGCGCGCGTGTGTGTGGGCGTGAGTTTCATCATCCAGAGAAAAAGACGCTTGGCATCCGTCCGTCCGTCCGTCCGTGGTCCGTCCGTGGAGACAACGGATCCGGCCTAGAGTAGGTCTAGAGTAGGTCCAGAGTAGGTCTAGAGTAGGTCTAGAGTATTTGTGATCGATGTGAGAGGTCGAGAGGATCGACGTTATTGGGGTTGGGATCTGCGATGCTGAAGTGTGCAAGCGTGCGTGCGAGTCGTTGAGTGCGTTTGCACATCCTCCAGTCGTGTCGCAGTCGAGCGTACCCATTGCGTCGTGCGTCTGCGAGAAGTTGGGTGAGTGTGTCTCGAGGGCGGTGTGCAGGTATAGCTAGTCGGTCGCGTGCAGCTGGCGATACGGCGGCTAGGGCCTTTTCGATCTTGGGCCAGGGCCACCAACCAAGCATGAGTTCGGCGACGAGACGTGGCTGTATTTGCAAATGGTCCAGAAGGTGCGCCGTCACAAGCCAGTGTTTCCAACTGGATGTTGCCGGCCGTATTGCCAACGAATACATCTGACCAAGCTCATTCTCCCAGTCCGGCTCGTCTCGCACCACACCTTCCAAATACTTCATCACCTCCGGCACCTGCTTTTCAGATATCACGAACGGACCGTCCGACCCACAGGCTCGCAATAAATCCAGAGTCGCCAGTGCCACCACCGGAGGCAACCCCTTCGTCCAGCAGTCGTCCGGTAACTCCAACTCCTGTGCGCGACAACAACGCTGCAACACACGCACCAACGCCACCCGAGACGGCTCACTCTGCTCCACCGATCTCCCCCCGTCCACCCGCAACTTCTTCAACGGCGGTCCCTGGGCCTCTTCCCCAGCACCACTCTGCGACGCACCACTCTGCGACGCACCACTCTGCGTCGCACCACTCCGCGTCGCACGACGCGAAGATTCACGAGTGCAACCCACCAGGCCCGTTACTGGGTCCACCAATCCGGCCGCCGGGTTTTCCACGTCGGTGGCCGGGTCCGGAAGGTCGGTCGCCGCGCAGGTGGCCGGTAGTGGTTTGGCAGGGTCGTTGGTGGGTGCGGCGCGGCGGTTATTACGGCCGGTGTTGATGAGCGCAAAGTCCTTGAGTGTGACGTATTCGGTATGGGCGTTAACGAGACGCCCGTCGAGTTCGGCAGGCCCGTGTGTGAATCTCAGTCGGTTGTATCGCGCGAGGTACATGCGACCGATGTTGAAGCACTCAAAGCGCCAGGCGGACTTGCTGCTCGTGACGTAGCCCAGGTGTTCCCGGCAGAACCTCTTCAGCACCGCCGTATCCGGCGCAGCGCGACAAAGCAGCACAGCCGTCGCCCACACGTCCAGCACAGGCGCACGCGCGTCCCACTCCCCTCTGGCCCGGCTTTTGACTTTGCCGCCCTTGCCACTTCCCTTGCCGCCCTTGCCACTTCCCTTGACCTTGCCTCCGCCCCCGCTCACGCGGGCGAGCTCAGCCGCAAGACGCGCACGCAAATCTTCGCGTAAGGCACCGAACGGCGAGTGCACGAACATGCAGATTATCGCCGCCAGTTCGAGGTAGTCCTTGCGACAACGCCGCAAGGCGACCAAGCCCGGGTCGCCGGCCGGGCCCAGGTCGTCCGCAGCGGGTGAGCGGAGTGTGTGCATGGCGGCGAGTTGCGTGTCGGTGAAAAGGGCGCGGAGACAGCGCGAGGTCTCGCGTTCGTCTTTGAGTGCGGCGGCGCCAATGTTCGTGAAGAAGCCGCGGACGGCGTTCGGGCCGTTTACGCGGCGCGCGAAGTCGCTGGCCGAGAGCGTCTGCGAGCCGCCGGTCCAGCGGCCGCCCGCGAGTCGACCGGTGCGTGCGGCGAACGGCGTAGGCGTAGGCCGCAGGCTCTCCGAGTCCGGCGACGGCAGCGCAGGCAAGTGCTTGGCCGCGTACTGCCAGAGCGTGCGTCGTAGCGACCGCCGCTCCGCGCCCCAGAGCACCGCAGCGCCCGCACCCGCCGCCGCGCCCACCGCCGCGCCCGGGACCGCCCGCAGCCGCGCCGTGGTCGTCGGCTCACTCTCCAGACGCCGCACGTGCTCCAGATAACACCCAAACATCCAGGTCGCCATTTTCCGCGCCGGGTTGTTCGACACCCAGAACACGTTTTGTAGAGCTGCCTTCACGGGCGCCAGCGCCGCCGGCGTCAGCGCGTCCAGCGGCGAGTCAAAATACAACAGCCACTGCGCAGCCAGCTCCAGACAGCGCTTGCTGCACCGTCGCTCGAAGTCTGATGCACTCAACGTCACCAACGCACGTACCCAACCATCGGTCCGCAACGGCTGATCGAACAGCGGCTGCCACCTGCTCCGCTCCAGCCGCGCACGCACCGTTGTCTGCGCCTCCGCAACGCTCTCGCCCGCCGCACACACTAACGACCGCTCTTCCTCCTCCGCCGGCGGCGGCGGCGGCGGCGCCGCCGGCGCCTGTGCGGCCGCCAAGCACCTCACCACCGCCGGCGGCAACCGGACCAGCACGGGCGCCTCCCGCCTCGCCACGGCCGCCGATGATACCGTCGCCGACAGCGGGCTCAGTTCGCACACTGTTCTCGAAATGGCGGCCGCACTCTTCTGCGCCGCCGCGCCGTCCTGCTCTGCCGTCAGTCCGCGCTTCGTTGCGGCCAGTACCAACACGCAATGCACCGAGGCGCGCGCCGGGCTCGCGACTGTCTTCATGATAAAAATTTGCCCGGCTTTCTCGTCCGGCGCGCCTTGTGCTAGCCCGCCTTCCCCCCTCTACAGTGCGCGTCTGGAGCGCGCCTGGAGCGCGCAAGTACGGAAAAAATGCGTTGCGGACAAAATAGTTACGAAAAATAGAACTTTCCCTTGCCAAGAAATAATGTGGCTAGAG